AAGAGCATTCTGAACCCTACCAACGATAACCCCATGACCAACAGAAAATACTGTGTTTTCTTATGGTCTTTGGTGACCCCCCTGCCATCCCCTTATGACCCCTGCAGGGGTCCCGACCCCCAGGTTGAGAAACGCTGATCTATGGAAATATCTCCTTGGTGGACATGGGAAAGGAAGGAAGGATGGCAGGGGGAGAGTTGGAAAAAGCTTTGCAACCACTAAGGCCAATGTATTGTCAAAGGCTTTCATGGCTGGAATCACTGGGTTGTTGTAGGTTTTTTCGGACTATATGGCCATGTTCTAGAGGCATTCTCTCCTGACGTTTTGCCTGCATCTATGGCAAGCATCATCACAGGTACTGACCTCACTACCTCTGAGGATGCTTGCCATAGATGCAGGCAAAACGTCAGGAGAGAATGCCTCTAGAACATGGCCATATAGCCCAGAAAACCCTACAACAACCCACTAAGGCAGTGTTTCTCAACCTTCCTTCTTCCGCGACCCCGTAGTACAGTTCCCCATGTTGTGGTGACCCCCAACCATAAAATTATTTTCATTGCTACTTCAGAACTGTCATTTTGCTCCTGTTATGAATCGTAATATAAATATCTGATAAGCAGGATTTATTTTCATTCACTGGACCACATTTGGCACAAATACCCAATATGCCCAAATTGGAATACTGGTGGAGTTTGGGGAAAATAGACCTTGACATTTGGGAATCATAGTTCCTGGGATTTATAGTTCACCTACCATCAAAGAGCATTCTGAACCCCACCAATGATCATGGATGGAAAGCTAGCATACAATCACATAGGTTAACCTTGCTGGTGTCCCATGCTCTTATCTCCATAAGATTGGAATACAGGAAGCTGCTGCTTTTTAGATCATTGTTCTATCTTAACTCAGTGTTAATGGTTCATCTAAGTCAGTGGTTCCCAACCTTCCTAATGCTGCAACCCCTTAATAGAGTTCCTCATGTTATGGTGATCCCCAGGATTTCATTTTTTTTGGGGGGGGGGGGGGGGGGGGGGGCTGAGTCTGAGTGAAAGAGGGTCTAGCCTAGCAAACCTTTTGTATCATTACCCCAATACCCCCATGCATATGGGATATATTGAGTATGGTGATCAGATCATGATATGAATAATAAACATAACAGTTTAAATAATGCACCAGTAAAGCCTTTTCGCAAACCACCATGAGAATTTCGGGGGGGGGGGGCTGAAGCCCCTCAAGCCCCCCTCCCCCCCCGGGTACATGCTTGGTGACCCCCAACCATAACATTATTTTCATTGCTACTTCAGAACTGTCATTTTGCTCCTGTTATGAATCTTAATGTAAATATCTGATAAGCAGGATTTATTTTCATTCACTGGACCACATTTGGCACAGATACCCAATATGCCCAAATTGGAATACTGGTGGAGTTTGGGGAAAATAGACCTCGACATTTGGGAATTGTAGTTGCTGGGATTTATAGTTCACCTACAGTCAAAGAGCATTCTGAACCCTACCAATGATAACCCCATGACCAACAGAAAATACTGTGTTTTCTTATGGTCTTTGGTGACCCCCCTGTCATCCCCTTATGACCCCTGCAGGGGTCCCGACCCCCAGGTTGAGAAATGCTGATCTATGGAAACATCTCTTTGGTGGACATGGGAAAGGAAGGAAGGATGGCAGGGGGGGAGTTGGAAAAAGCTTTGCAACCACTAAGGCCAATGTATTGTCAAAGGCTTTCATGGCTGGAATCACTGGGTTATTGTAGGTTTTTTTCGGGCTATTTATTTATTTATTTAGCAGTTTTGTATACCGGTCTTCTCACCTCCATTCGAGGGACTCAGGCCGGTTTCCAACATCAATATTGCAGACAGTCATTAAAACATCATATTCTAAATCACACTAAAACATTAAAATAGCAAAATACAATCATATAATTACAGTGGTCAGTCGTCATCAAAAATCATTATTCGTCGTCATCCATCTATGTCACAGGATCATGGCTCATTCGTCGAATGCCAATCCCCGAAGCTAAGTTTTCACCTGAATGTTAAGATAGAAGGGGCAGTTCTGATCTCCAGTGGAAGGGAGTTCCAGAGTCGAGGGGCCACCACCGAGAAGGCCCTGTCTCTCGTCCCCACCAGCCGCGCCTGTGAGGCCAGTGGGATCGAGAGCAGTGCCCCTCCAGATGATCTTAGCAATCTTGATGGTTCATAGGGGAGGATACGTTCAGACAGGTAAATTGGGCCGGAGTCGTTTAGGGCTTTATAGGTTAAGACCAGCACTTTGAATTGTGCTCGGAAGCTGACTGGCAGCCAGTGGAGCTGGCGCAACAGAGGAGTAGTATTCTCCCTGTACCCCGCTCCCGTTAGTAGTCTGGCTGCCACACGTTGGACTAATTGAAGCTTCCGGGCAGTCTTCAGAGGCAACCCCACGTAGAAAGCGTTGCAGTAATCTAAACGGGATGTAACCAAAGCGTGGGCCACCGTGGCCAAGTCAGACTTCCCAAGGTACGGGCGCAGCTGGCGCACAAGTTTTAATTGTGCAAAAGCTCACCTGACCACCGCTGAAACCTGGGGCTCCAGGCTCAGCGATGAGTCCAGGATCACTCCCAGGCTGCGAGGCTATATGGCCATGTTCTAGAGCAGTGTTTCTCAACCTGGGGGTCGGGACCCCTGGGTGGGTTGCGAGGGGGTGTCAGAGGGGTCACCAAAGACCATCAGAAAACACTATTTTCTGTTGGTCACGGTAAGTTTGGCACAATTCTATCATTGTTGGGGTTCAGAATGCTCTTTGATTGTAGGTGAACTATAAATCCCAGCAACTACAACTCCCAAATGTCAAGGTCTATTTTCCCCGAACTCCGCCAGTGTTCACATTTGGGCATATTGAGTATTCGTGCCAAGTTTTGTCCACATCCATCATTGTTTGAGTCCACAATGCTCTCTGGATGTAGGTGAACTACAACTCCAAAATTCAAGGTCAATGCCCATCAAAACCTTCCAGGGTTTTCTTTTGGTCATGGGAGTTCTGTGTGCCAAGTTGGGTCAATTCTATCATTGGTGGAGTTCAGAATGCTCTTTGATTGTAGGCTAACTGTACATTCCAGCAACTACAATTCCCAAATGACAGATTCAATCCCCCACAGTAACCCATGAAATAATAATAATAATAATAATAATAATAATAATAATAATAATAATAATAATAATAACTAGTTCAGGTACCCAGCATTGCTGGGTTATTAGAAGAAGCCATTTTTTAGTTTTACAAAACGCATAAAGTTGTGGGTGAAGTACAGTTCAATCATGCCAGGTTAACCCCCTGAAACTCCATCAATATTTAAAGTTTATCATGTTGGGCAAGTTTGCTCTAGATGCATTATCGGTGGAGTTCAGTATGCTCTCCAGCTGCAGGATGAATTACAACTCCCACCATGATAGGTCATTTCCGTCAAAATTCTTCAGTAGATTCAGTTGGTAATAGGGGTTCTGTGTGCCAAGTTAGGTCCAGGTCCATCATTGATGGGGTGCAGAGTACTCTTTCATTGCAGGTGAACTATAAATCCCAGTACCTATAACTAACAAACATCAAAGCAAATTGCATCCCAAACCCACCAGTATCCAAATTTTGGCATATTGGGTATGTGTGCAAAATTTGATGCAGATCCATCGTTGTTTGCGTTCATTGTTGTTTGAAGATCCATCTTTGTTTGTGTTTGTGCTCTCTGGGTGCAGATGCACTATAATTCCTATCAATCAAGGTGAATTTTCCCCAAAGCCCTCCAGTGTTTTTTGTTGGCCATGGGGGTTCTTTGTGCCAAGTTAGGTCCAAGGTCATCATTGGTGGGATCCAGAGTGCTCTTTGATAGCAGATGAACTATAAAGCCCAGTACCTACAATGGCTATAAATCAAGGTAAATTCCCCCCAAACCTTTCCAGTATTTTTCTTAGGTTATGGGGGTCTGTGTGCCAAATGTGTCCAGGTCAATTGTCAGTAAGGGGGGGGGGGGGGGGTCACAGTGCTCTGTCTTGATGCAGGGTGAACTACAACTTCCATCATGTGGAGTCAGTCCCCCAAACTCCTCCAGTTGCTGATTAGTTCTGCTCTATTTCTTGTGCAGACAAGAGTTGAAAAGAGTAGGAAAGGGTTAAGGGAGAGGCAATTGGTGGGATCATGGAAATTCTACACCAATGGAGAGAGAAAGGAACCCTGAGATGTCTGTGGTGGAGGAGACACATAAAATCTAGGGTGAAATTGTGCCTGAATGAAAGCATTCCTTGAATGGTGGGCAGCATGGTGTTTAGGGAGGACGTTGGCAGGGATTGGGCTACATGTTCATGGCACTCACTATAAACTGAAATGTCATTGGAGGAAGTGCTTTTGGTGGCTCTTCAGCACTGTGGGTTAAAGCTGTTTGTGGAAGGGTAAGTCTACCTATGTAAGGTGGTCATCCCAGCTACATACATATATTCACTTGTATTCGGTATATTGTTTATTGATTTTGAAGCATCTACTCAGAAGTGAGCTCCATTGAGATCAGCAGGATTTCACGTTGGGATCAGAATTCAAACTTTTCTTTATCTGCACAAATGAATAAATTCAAGATTTCTCCTCAATGGATAGCTCCCAGATTTCCTCCCATTGGAAAGATAAATTTGCAAGGCCATAAAAATCTCCAGCAAGCATGCAGGGAATGAAGAAGTACTTAATCAATGTCGTGGATGGATGGTGAAGCGACAGCTCCCCTGGTGGCCAGAAAAAGTTGGAATGTTCTGACTGTCTGTCTATATATATTGTGTGTCTATGGCATTGAATGTTTGCCATGTATATGTACATTGTAATCCGCCCTGAGTTCCCAGTAGGGTGAGAAGTATAAATACTGTAAATAAATAAATCAAATAAGATCTCAGCCATAATATACAATTTTAGAAATTCACTTAACATGTTGGTAGGCCTAACCTTTTCTCACTCTTTGAACAATTATTTCCTATCATAAGGTACAAGTGATCCATACGTGAAATTTAAGATGAATGGCAAAACCCTTTACAAAAGCAAAGTTGTCTACAAGAACCTGAATCCTGTGTGGGATGAAACGGTTGTGCTTCCCATCCAAACCCTTGATCAGAAACTCCGTGTGAAGGTAAACTGCGGCTAAACATTACCCAAAATGAGATTTTTAGCAAATTAAAAATGTTGGTTTTGCAGGAGTTAATTTAACGAATCCTTACCATTGTTTTGGGGGGAAGATGGGCGGGATGGAAGGGAAGTTGTTATGGAGAGCAACTTTCCAAGTTTGAGAAGTTTTCTACTGAAAGACCTGCATCACAAGTGCAAAGCACATGGCCTTTGTTATCTACGATAGGTTGCATTTGAACACTAGAACTTTGCACAAAAATTACACATTTTTTTTACTAAAACCCCATAAAGTCAGCACATTGCTTCTCTCAGTTTCCTTTTAATGTAGCCATAGGCCATCAATATTTGGGCCTTTTTAGTTTGGGGGGGGGGGGAGAAGAAGAGCAGTCATGATAAAATGTGGTATACATTCTGTATGGTAGGAATGGAAAAATGTTTGCTATTGTTAACTGAAAAACAGGATGAAAATTAGTTTCCAGACATTCGAGGACCCCCATTGGGAGGAATAATAAACCAGTGAGAGTTTTTGTATTTTCCCACTGGTATTCAATGTCTCCATCCCTTGCAGAGCAAATATACCACGGATAAAAACAAATGGATTTCCTGTAAACAGAACATTGTTTCCTCAGCAAGAAACCCATTTTCCTCATAGAAAAAGGCCACAAACAGAACTAAGTGAAGAATGTGCAGAAATTGTTTTCGGATGTTACAGGTCTCTGCTTTTCCTCCTTCAGGTATATGACCGCGACTTAACTTCGTCTGACTTTATGGGTGCTGCAGTTCTAACTCTGGGTGAACTGGAGCTCAACAGGTACACCCAAAACATGTCAAGACTGTATACCTTTTACTTATATTAGAACTGCAATATATCCACTATTTGGGTTTCTTTTGCAAGGCTGGTCCAAGTAATTTTGTCCCCTTAGACTAGGCATGGGCAAACTTCGGCCCTTCAGGTGTTTTGGACTTCAGTTTCCACAATTCCTAAACAATTCCATGTATTTTGGAGTTGAAGTCCCAAACACATGGAGGGCTGAAGTTTGCCCATATCCACCTTAGACAGTGCTGGGAATAAAGTCCCAACTAACCAGTAGTGACTTGTGGTCTCTGTTTGAGTGAAATGGTGAATTTTGTTCAAACTAGATTCAGCAAATTAGATTCAGCCCTCTTTTGTGGATTTTGTGATTTGTGGACTTTTGTGGATTTTATGATTTGTGGATTTGATTCAGATGTTCTCTCAAGGAATCTTTAGGCCTTCCATTGTGGTTGTACCATCAGCTTCAGGTTGGAGGGTCTAGACATTCCTGGAAACATGTCGAAATATAACAATCTTTTTTTTTAAATCCATAGTTTTCCCACAAAACTTTCCACCTTTCTACTTAATTTTTGCTGTTTTAATTAATGTCTAAATGTGTTTTTACTACTACTGTTGTTGGCATCTAATGAGTGCTGGTTGTGAGCCGCCCTGAGTCACCTTGTGAGTGAGAAGGACCAGATATAAATGTCTGAAACAAATAAATAACAAATAATATCTGTCTCTACTTCAGGTTGTGTGCCAGTTTGCTCCTTTCCACCTCTTTTTCTTCTTTCTTCCAGGACTTTTGAGAAGGTTCTCAAACTGGAAGATCCAAACAGCTTGGAGGATGACATGGGGGTGATAGTGTTGGATCTGAAGCTTGCTGTGAAGCAGGGAGACATTAAAAGAAATGTAAGTGGGTCCAGGAAATGAGTCTTTTTCACTCTCCTGCCAAACTGTTTGCCTCTGGGATGGCTGTAGGAAGGCCTGGTGGCCTTGATAGTACAATGGAAGAAGATAAGGTAGGTGCCACACATACCTCATGTGCTACTAGAGTTAAACAAAGCATGGTAGCATAAGGGTGGATACCATATTTGACATTCAGAATACCAAGTTCAGTCTCCAGTATTTCCATGTGAGGATGGTCAAGATTTGTGCTCAGAAAATAACAACAACAACAGCAATTTATTTATTATCTGCATCTCCTTATGGCTTGAAGCTGAGCACAACCTAATCCTGGAGATCTAATGACTGAGAATATGGGATTAAGCAACCCATTTTTCTGGCCCCAGGACTCCTGATCTGACCCTAATATCATTTCTGGATTGAAAAAAAGTGAAGTGAGACCTTCATATCCATGGGAGACACATTCCCATTACATAAAATCACAGATAAGGTTGATCGCCATTAAATTACTTCACTTCTGGTACCTGTGTACCATAGACTAGTGCTGAAAGATTCCTAAAGAGATATCCTATATAGAATTTGTTTGGTCCTTCTAAACCAGTGGTTCTCAACCTGTGGATCCCCAGATGTTTTGGCCTTGAACTTCCAGAAATCCGAAATTGGCTGGGATTTCTGAGAGTTGTAGGCCAAAACACCTGGGGACCAACAGATTGAGAACAAGTTCTAAACAACTTTATGGTAACATCTAGGGGAGTTATGGTATAGAAATGCCTGTAGAATCTAGAACATTTCTACAGAGATCACTTTGCTCCCAAGCAAGACAATAACAAAGCAAAACCATGGTTTGGACCCAAGCTAATTATCACTGGCCAACACACATTTTGGTGCCTTAAATCTTGGCCTTGTTTTAGTTTATTTTTGATCTGCTGATTCCAAAATATGTCACCACTTCCCCCCTGTCAGCTCTGGGTTTTGAGATACAAAAGAAATGCCATCTACCAGTCAGCATCTGCTCACCCATAGAAAATCACGATTACCATATCTAAGAAACTAGAGCTGATGAGGTCTGTCCAGTGCAATTTTCTGAACCAGTGCCCCAAATAATCCCAGAAACAGGGCTAAAAACTAAGACATCAAGGTTTTTTTTTTGGTTGGACTATGCAATCAGGGCACAAACTCTTCTTAAGCATTAGTCTGAAGACACTAACAATCTGGATCCTTTTTGTCTCTCTTTCTGTTCTGGTTTTTCTTTGCATGGCTCTCATCACACCGATGTGGATGCTGCAAATAGAAATGGGCGAGCCGAAGAAAGCGCTCGGTGCCCAAGGTAAGTTACATTTCTCTTATATTCCTTCTCCACACCTCCATTTAAGCTTTTGAGAAAGACCTAAAAAGGTGGCTCAAAATATATTCCATATTTTGTCTGTCACAACTATAGTTCTGTCCTCATGATGCACTTTTCCCCTGCCCTTAATGAAGGTCTAACCCCATTGTTCGTTCTTTTTGAGCTCCTCCCTCAGAAACATAGTCTCCCACTACCTGTCTCATCCAGGGTTTTATCAATTTTATCCTGTGCATTTGGCCCACCCACTGTGTTCTATTTGTCTATCATGGTATTTTTGAAACTGTTTATTTTATTTTGTTATTTCATTTATTTATTTTGATTTTTTTTTTGCTTCTTTGTATTTTATTTTGTTGTACTGTAATTTTGGGCTTGGCCTCATGTTAGCCGCCCTGAGTCCCCTTTGGGGAGATGGTGGCGGGGTACAAATAAAGTATTATTATTATTATTATTATTATTATTATTATTATTATTATTATGGAGCCCCCCGGTGACGCAGTGGGTTAAACCCCTGTGCCAGCAGGACTGAAGACCAACAGGTCACAGGTTCGAATCCGGGGAGAGGTGGATGAGCTCCCTCTAACTCCAGCTCCTCATGTGGGGACATGAGAGAAGCCTCCCACAAGGATGATTAAAAAATACATCAAATCATCCGGGCGTCCCCTGGGCAACGTCCTTGCAGACAGCCAATTCTCTCACACCAGAGGTGACTTGCAGTTTCTCAAGTTGCTCCTGATATGACAAAAAAAATATTATTTTACTGTTTTGGCCTTGAACAAAAGCACAGTATGTCACAGCAAATGAGATCTATATGCTGGATTTCGTATCACAAAATCACAAGTTGAACATGTCCCAAGTGTCTAGGACTGTGTGATGTATTTTCGAATGATGCTCACAGATCCAAATCAGGTGGCCTTTTGCAGTTGACAGATCGTGATTTTGTTGATGTTTATTGTTTCCAAATACCAGCTGAGATCTTTTGGCACGACACCCAGTGCATCAATGACCACTGGGACCACCTGTACTGGTTTATGCCAGAACCTTTGCAGTTCAATTTTGAGGTCTTGATAGCGGCTGAATTTTTCCTATTATTTTTCCTCAATGCAGTTGTCACCCGGTATAGCAACATCAATAATCCAGACTTTTTTCTTTTCCACAGTCGTGATGTCTGGTGTATTGTGTTCCAAAACTTTGTCAGTCTGGATTCAAAAGTCCCACAGTATTTTTGCATGTTCATTTTCCATTACCTTTGCAGTTTTATGATCCCACCAATTCTTTACTGCTGGCAGGTGGTCCTTGTGACATAAGTTCCAGTGAATCATCTGGGCCACAGGGTTGTGTTGTTGTTGTTGTTATTATTATTATTATTATTATTATTATTATTATTATTATTTCAGACTTCATCACACTAGAGAATGAATCCACTTTTAATCTGGTTTCTGCCTCCTGCATAATTCTGTAGTTTGTAGTTTAGGGAGGTTGTTAAAGGCTCCTCCATAAACTACAAACTCCAGAATTCTGCAGAAGGCAGAAACCAGATTAAAAGTGGATTCATTCTCTAGTGTGATAAGGTCCTCAATTCACCATTTACGCAGAAGTTCCACTGAGTAACAAAACATGTGTTTTCAAGAAAGAACAATCTACAACTAGAGAAGACATTGGGAAAAACAAAAACCCTACAATGCCTTTACTTTATTCCATTCCAGTTTTTTTTAAATTTTGTTGTGGGGCCTTTCCCCTTGCTGTCACTAGAGGGTAGGAGAGTTGCAGTATTCCTCACGCAAGCCAGAGATCAGGCTCTGAAGTGATCCGATCCGCTAGGAAAGAGCTTCAGTGACCATCTGAGAAGCAGTAAAGAGTTTCCCAGAAAGACTACTTGAGCCACTCTTGACAAAGCAGTATTTCCTGGTTTATTGATTCGGCTGCCACACTAAAACGCCAGCCTTGTACATCAATAACTATCTTTAGTTAGGAAGTGCCAGGCTGTGGAAACAAGATGGGCTCCTATCTCTCCCCTGCCCTCCCTCTCGCCTGTTCTTTTGGTTTATGTTTGCGGAGGAGGAACATAAAGGCTACAAAGAAAAAAACAGTGCGCTCGGGGAATCGCGGTGCCTCGGAGAGGCAGGAGAGGTTATGGAAGAATGGTCAAGAGGAGTGTGATGGGGCAGAAAATATGTGGATGGACTGGATTAAGAGACCAGGAGGAAATAAAACGCACACACCATACTCTCTAATGGATCTGTATACCTGGAGATGCCATATTTTCTCGTCTCTCTCTCAACTCTTACGATGCTCTCTCGTTTGTGAAAGTTGGTTCTTTTATTCCGTTTTTGGTCTCACTTCCATTAAATCAACCTAACAAGCAAGAATTCATTCCTGTTACTACTAATAGTGATGGGACTTTGGTAAAGTGTGGATGCAGACTTCAGTGGGTTGATGGCAGTTGAAGACACTGCAACTCCAACCCCAGCACACTTTGGTGGGGCTGTATGTCAGATGAAATTGCCACCTCATTGCTCCTCATGGAGTGTGGTGGAGTGTAGTTGGAGAACAAGCCCTATGAGGAGCGGCTTAAGGAGCTGGACATGTTTAGCCTAAAGAAGAGAAGGCTGAGAGGGGATATGGTAAGGTAAAGGTAAAGGTAGTCCCCTGACATTAAGTCCAGTCATGTCTGACTCTGGGGTGTGGTGCTCATCTCCATTTCTAAGCCGAAGAGCCAGCGTTGTCCATAGACACATCCAAGGTCATGTGGCCGGCATGACTGCATGGAGCGCCGTTACCTTCCCGGAGCGGTACCTATTGATCTACTCACATTTGCATGTTTTCGAACTGCTAGGTTGGCAGAAGCTAGGGCTGACAGCGGAAGCTCACGCCGCTCCCCGGAATCGAACCTGCGACCTTTCGATCAACAAGCTCAGCAGCTCAGTGCTTTAACCCACTGTGCCACCGGGGGCTAGGGGATATGATAGCCATGTATAAATATGTGAGAGGAAGCAACAGGGAGGAGGGAGCAAGCTTGTTTTCTGCTTCCCTGGAGACTAGGACGCGGAACAATGGCTTCAAACTACAAGAGAGGAGATTCCATCTGAACATGAGGAAGAACTTCCTGACTGTGAGAGCGTTCAGCAGTGGAACTCTCTGCCCCAGAGTGTGGTGGAGGCTCCTTCTTTGGAAGCTTTTAAATAGAGGCTGGATGGCCATCTGTCAGGGGTGATTTGAATGCAATATTCCTGCTTCTTGGCAGGGGGTTGGACTGGATGGCCCATGAGGTCTCTTCCAACTCTTTGATTCTATGATTCCTTCTTTGGAGGCTTTTAAACAGAGGCTGGATGGCCATCTGTCGGGGGTGCTTTGAATGTGATTTTCCTGCTTCTTGGCAGAATGGGGTTGGACTGGATGGCCCATGAGGTCTCTCCCAACTCTAGGATTCTATGATTTTATCCTGCAAGGTTGGACTCTATGGCCCACTTTATGATTTTATGATTGAGGAGGCAGAGTTGAGTCTCCAGGCACCTCCCACCAAAATCTGCTGGTTTGTAGACTTTGGGAAAAGCGGTTGGGAAACCATTTCCATGCTAAGGGGACAGCAATGGGCTTGCCAACTATGACCTGAATCCAGTGCATTGGCAGACTTCAGGAGAGCAGCAAACCCACAAATAATCAAATATACGACTGCCAAACTTGCATATGTGGCATGCCAACTGAACACAACTGGGACTCTACATTGCAAACAGAGACCACAATCTCATTGGCTGGCATAGCTGCATTGCTGTAGATTAGGGTGGCCCATATAATGCATGCAATCCTTAGGCTCCCCTGTCGTTTCACTACATGAGATATGCAAGATGCCCTATTATGTTTCCTGCCTTCTCTGCTCCTTCTCTGCTGGGCCTTTGCTCTCCATAAAAGCCTCCAAGTTACTTAGGCGATCCCTTGTAGCTCGAGGACGATTGTCTTCCAGATGTGGTGTCTTGGCGGTGGGTCCATAGGTGGCTATGGAGGCCTATTCTTGATCTTCGTCTTCTTCCGCAGTGAGGACATTGGTTTCCAGACAGAAGGCAGTCCCGGCCAGGGTTGGCTTGACACGCTTTCCTTTTGAAACATTTCTCTCTTTCGCCCTCTGTTCGTACCTCTTCGAATTCTGCAGCACTGCTGGTCACAGCTGACTTCCAGTTAGAGCGCTCAAGGTCAAGGGCTTCCCAGTTCTTGGTGTCTATGCCACAGTTTTTAAGGTTGGCTTTAAGCCCATCTTTCAAACTCTTTTCCTGTCCTCCAACATTCTGTTTCTTGTTCTTGAGTTCGAAGTAGAGTAGCTGCTTTGGGAGATGGTGATCAGGCATTCGGATAATGTGGCCATCTCAGCGGAATTGATGGAGCCCCTGGTGGCGCAGTGGGTTACAACCCTGTGCTGGCAGAACTGAAGACCAACAGGTTGCAGGTTCGAATCCGGGGAGAGGCGGATGAGCTCCCTCTATCAGCTCCAGCTCCTCATGCGGGGACATGAGAGAAGCCTCCCACAAGGATGATAAAAACATCAAATCATCCAGGCGTCCTCTGGGCAACGTCCTTGCAGACAGCCAATTCTCTCACACCAGAAGCGACTTGCAGTTTCTCAAGTTGCTCCTGACACGACAAAAAAAAAAAGCGGAATTGATGATGGAGGAGCATTGCTTCAATGCTGGTGGTCTTTGCCACAATCTCATTGGCTAGCATAACTGCATTGCTGTAGATTAGGATGGGCAAAATGTGACCCATAGGATGCATGCGGTCCTTAGACTCCATTACCCTTTCACTACATGAGTCACAAATGAGTTCTGCAAGATTCCCTAGTATGTTTCTTGCCTTCTCTGCTCCGTACCTTCTGCTGGCCCTTTGCTCTCCATAAATACTTCCAAGTAGCCTTTCAGCAAATGCCTGAGCAACAGGTTTGACAACTCTGTGCTCATAGCTCTTCCTTCCTGCAATTTGCTGAAACCCACCTTTCT